TGTAGAATCACATCCAGTTGTGTGTGGGCACTAGGGCGACCACTTTCAACACCTTATGTGACAGGATACAGTTTCATAAGGACTGAGTGTCTACCTACATTTGAGCACCATCAAAGCATAAATAATGGTTTTATTGCTGAAAGTCTGGGGCCTGTAACAAGAGGATTGCCCTGTATTTTGTGCATACAAAATTTTAAACAGTGATAGTGAAAAATTTCAAGGTAATCTCCAGTAAATTTAATGCAGCTGGAATCTGTACTGATGGAAATTATGCATACAAATTAATCACTGAATTGTACCTTGCTGCCTCCATCTATGATGGGTGACCTCTGAAACGTCTTGTCTCCCATTTGTGCAATATGCCCCACCCACCTTTTCCTCTTTGATTTGATTACCCTACACATGAAAGCTGTATTAGAAATCAACATTCAACAGTTCTGTAATTATAATGCTAGGAACAGTACAAAAGTGACAAATGTGGGTCAGTCGGAGAAGTTAAAAACAAAAAAAAGTCCACAGATGTTTTTTTTGCATAGTTAAATTGAGGAAGATACAACAATAAATGTTGGGTTTCAGGGAGAAGACAGAAAATTGTGGAAGGAGAAAGTGAGAAATTATATTTTTGTTGTATATTACATATGGACAGTTCTGCAATTGTAATGGTAACAAAGTAATCCCAGCCATTTATTTCCTGATCACAGATGCAATCCTGTATTTATGATGCTGTAAGAAACTTCAGACCAATGTATTAACTAACACTTATATCTGTGAAGAAACTCCACAAGAATGAACACAAACATTAAGAAAAAGCAGTTTGTCTGTATGATCACTTTTTCTACATAATTTCTCAAACATCAAAGCTACACAGTAAAAAAAACTATAACATCCACACACACACACAATCATCAGGTGAGATTTCAGGTTCTCACAGTGGCAAGCATGTAGATTGCTGTCTTCTGATCAGTGTCCCTAATGATACAGGCAGTAAGCTCTTCTGAAACATCATTAAACATTTACCAGACTACATGGCACTACAACCCAGAAGACAGCAATCAACAGGTTATAAATGGTTTATCTTAACTACTGGGCCGTTCCTGTTGGTGGAACTCTAACAACTGCTGCAGACGGCTGGGGTGATGGAGCATACGGACTTCCCAAGAATTCATCAGCAATATGCGCACCCTCACGAAGGCCACTGAGGAACGCCCCATGCACTGTTGCGGGATAATTCCTTATGGTATGTTCACCCGCAAAGAAAAGTCTACATTTCTGTCCAGATGCAGTGGGTGGTGCCACTGGTGCTGACAGCATATCGTAGTCACCCCCTGAGGATCCCACAGCCACGAAGGAATAAGATCCACGGGCCCATGGATCAGTTCTCCAACGGGTCACCACAGTCTCTTTGGGCTGAGGCACAGCTGCATTTCCAAATATACCCTTGAGGACAGCGATACAGCGACCCACTATGACATCATCACTGACATTCTCCATGATGGCGGCAGCCTCTCCTGCCACTAGTGCAAGAAGAACTGGTGCGCGATACAAGTTCCAGAAAAGAAATAACTCTCCTCTGCTTGCTGTCGTGCTGCCTACGTGACCAAACAGATTAGTACTGGCATCCCAGAAAATGCGATCAAAGCAGAGCACTACCTTGTTCAGACTGCCAAAACCAAGGCGTTGGATGGCCGAGACCTTCCAGTCTGGCAATGGAGGAACAAACTGCACGATGTTGTTCACACCCTGTGTGTTGGATGCAGTTGACTGTTTGAGCACACCTAGTGGCAATGTACATAACACTACATCACCTTTGTATGTAATGGGGTTGCTATTGTTGCGAGAATTGGTTGTAACTACTTCCACTCCATTTGGACCATACCGGACCTGTCTCACAGCAGTGTTGAGTTTGATGTCAAGACCTTCAGAAAGTGCAACAGGAACACAAGAATATCCATTCCTGACTGTCAGGTGGCTGCCTGTAAATTCAAAATCATCATCTTGGTCCCAGTGCTTTAGAGACAAATTTGTTAGTGGGGTAGCATTTGCAAATTCCAAATTTGCAAAGTGCCAGTCTAATATCTGGCGATCCCGTGATGACAGATAAACATCACTTGGAGGTGATGCATCCAATTCATGCAACTTGTCTTCAATTTCTTTCTGCTGCTCCAGAAATTGGTCCCATTCATGACATGCATTACTTAGATCCCTTAGTTTTGAACGCATAACAAATTCTTGTGTAATATCTCTCAAGCCTTTACTCTCATAGAGCTCTTTGTATTGCTTGTTTAACTCTTCAATTCTCTCTTTCAAGGCCAGCATGTTATGTTGATTGGTTTTCAGTTTTTCTTGTAGAGCTATCACAGCTTTCCAATGCTGAACTTGTTTTTCCTTGACATTCTTTTCCTGTAATTTTATTACCCATTCCAGGGCTTGTCCAAGTGAAACAGGTTTTCCACCAGCATAGTTTAAATCAAGCTGATGTGATAAATAGCTTGTAGCTTCTAGAAGACGATTGAATTCTCTTTCCACCATTTCATCCTTGTCTTTTGGCACAGTGTTTCCATTTGATTCATAAAGAGGGCATTTCTGCTTTATCTTATGCAATTCCATATTAATCTGCTTTGACAGAACAGTTACTGGATTACCTCCCAGGCCTGTAACAACCATTGCACCTAAATCAGCAACATAACTGGCCTTACGAAATGTAGCAATACGGCCACCAACTCGATCCCTTGCCTCCAGGACAACCACTTCCATCCCAAACTGGTTCAACTGCTGTGCTGCTGCTAGTCCAGCAATGCCTGCTCCAATTACAACAACTTTTCCTAGCTTTTTTGCAGGTATAACTTTGGTCCTCTTGAATATTCCAAAGTTAATGTAACCATACCTTTCCAAAAATGCATGTACTCGCATAGCCAATGGCTCATCACTGTTATAAGGTGGTTCAATCTGAGGCAAGGCATCTTCAAATAACAACTGCTGTTTAGGATTTTCCAGCCATAACTGTAACAGTCTGTTTCTAATGTGTAAGAATACTTTCTGTGTTTGTGGTGGACCTTGAGATATATCGGGAAATGAAGACGCTTCCTTAGCTGTCATCTTTTCAAATGGTAGCCTGCTTTGAAATGCAGCACCTTCTAGGCCTGTCGGATCATCGTGATCAAATTCTGGATCATCTTTTTCTAATTTAATTGAATTATTTAAAGGCAAATCTGCAGGTGCGGAAATCTGATCTGCCAACTGTGATTCTTGGGTTGGAGTCACTTTCTTTTCAGATATACCTATACCAGGAACTTTAGACTTTTCAGATGCGTCTTCCTCATCCAACAATTGATTATATTTCTCTTCCATTTTCCGGTACTCAACTTTTGCTTTCTTTCTACGGCTCATTCTCCTACCTTCCTCTTGGGCATCCACTGGATCACTCGCCCCACTGTTTTCGTTTTCCACGCACAAACGCTTACGTTCTATATCTATTTCGTGAAATGTATTTGTATTCATGATAACGGAATATGCAAGATAATGACCACTCCAACCACGTGCCACAGCTGATGTTTTACTGTCACTCGTCGTCTGTCCCTCAACTATTTTCTACAAAAAAATTAACCTTTCACATAAATTTTGAAACGCATTTCCTAACACGGCTTCCGAAGCATTGATATCTCGAAAAACAAGCATTGCCGACCATGCAGACGTTCCCTTGCTTGTCAGTAACACCAACATCACAGATTTCGACCAAGACCAACAAAGTTGGGTGGTGCTAGTCATAGATAACCTATACTTGTAACATACAAATGTGTTGTGTAGCTGCAGATTAATTAGGGGTCTGTTAATTTGTGGTGTTGTATCTTCATACATAAGTGAAAAAGAATGATTAAAGCCATATTGGTGTTCAATAATCATGGAAAACCGAGAATGTCCAAATTTTATCAATATTTCGTAAGCAGATTGCGTGTATTATTTCAGTTTGAAATTCATGATTTGTAGTTTTGAATTGTAAAGATGTAATTATTTGTGGTTCTGTTTAGTGCCTGTAACTGATCACTAGGTAGCTAAATGTATCTATTGTGCAAGGTGCATATTAAATATGAATCCTACTTCAGTCTTGTTTCCTTCACTACAGAATGAAGATATGCAACAACAAATTATTAAAGAAACATTTCAGTTGGTCTCGAAACGGGATGATAATGTGTGCAATTTCCTTGAAGGAGGCAGGTTAGTTGCAATTTTGCATTTTTATTTTAATATGTTTTATTCTTTCTGTAGAAATAGCCTATATAAATAATGTTTTGATTATTGTTAATCTCTTTCAGTTTGATTGGCGGTTCAGACTATAAACTGATATATCGTCACTATGCTACACTGTATTTTGTATTTTGCGTGGATTCATCAGAATCGGAACTTGGAATTCTCGATTTAATTCAAGTGTTTGTTGAGACGTTGGATAAGTGTTTTGAGAATGTATGTGAACTTGACCTTATCTTTCATGTTGATAAGGTAAGCTTATAACCATTATTTTGGGATATAGTGCAATATGTAAAAATATAGTGAGGCATTTTTCTGAGCGCCCCAGAAAATCACAGAACAACTACCATGAGGCAAGTTTACGTGTTATGGGGTAGCTGAATTCAAGATTTGGAGTCGCATGTTGGTTTAACATCTGCCACTGTGCAGTAAGCAGTCATTCACTTATTCACATTAATTCCTGTATGAGAATGACAGTGTGAGAAAAACATTGGAACAACTGTTCATGTGAAAAGTGATTTGACAAGAAAAGTAAGGTGAATATTTCTGGATGTTGAAGTTCCTCATAGAAGAACTATTAATAGAATTGGAATTATACTTTTACTGACAGGATTATTACTTGACACAAAACCAAAATTAAGATACTGAGTACTCACTGAAGGGAAATTGAATGAAGTTTATGATAGGCTTCACACATTTTTAGGAAATCCCCTTATTGCCTCACATAAGAGACTGGGGTTACAAAATTGTCAGCATGACCTGCCACAAAACTCTTATACTGAAAACATTTAAGACAAAAGTAGTGCATAATTTGCAACTATGTGATTCCACTGACAGAGTGAATTGTGATTTGTAGCCAGCACACTTCCTCAACCTCATCCTACATGTCTTTTATTTTTGGGGAACCATAACGGAAAATGTTTATAGACCAAACTCTCATACAATTGAATACTTGAAGGAAAATAAGTTAAGCAAAGTTTTCTCTGTTTCCCAAAGTTAACTTCTGTCAATATAGAACAGAATAGAAATAATAGAGTAGGATTTATTGACATTCCATGGATCCTTCATAGGTATAAGCCAATGATGTATAACTCACCATAGCACAAATACAGTACTTGTTTCTAATACAAATACCAATTACATAGTTATGACAGTTACGCATGAATGTATACTTTCTACAGGACCGCCGGGAATGTAGCATTTCCAGTGTTTTCTATGATCTGTGTTAGTTCTTTTTTTAGTGTATGTAGTCTGTGGGTTTGTTGGTTCCACTGGAACTCTAAAGCTCTATCCTGCTCTTCCACATAAGTGACTGATTAGTAGGGCACTAGGGAAATAATCTCACTGTAGCATCCTGAATAGTGAAATAAATTTCACAAGTCTATAGCCATGATGCCTGATTTATTTTTTAGGTTCATTACATATTGAATGAGCTTGTTATGGGAGGCATGGTACTAGAAACAAACATGACAGAAATCCTGACTCGGATCGAAGATCAGAATAAACTGGAAAAACAAGAGGTAATGCTTATATGTATTTTTGTATTGGACCACTGCCATGTGTTAATCTTATGTATACATATTTATTAAAATTTAAGTAGCTGTCTTTGGGGCCCACCCAGCCTCCTGTCCTTGGCTACCAGGGTCGTTTCTGGGGGTAAAGTGCAGCTGGGGCATGATGCTGACCATTCACTTGTTTCTGGTGCTGAGGCTAAGAATGAGTAGTAGCTATGCCTCCTCTCCACCCAGTCGACTGCATGGCGTATAGTGAGACAGCTTTCATTTTTAATTAAAATATTCATTTACTATTAAATTTTCTTACATCTGTAATTTTGGAGGGGAACGAAGAATGACAGAAGCTCTTGGTTTTTAATACAATTTCAGTAACCACATAGATTCATAGAACCTGTAGCCGAAGAATGTAGTTTGATAAACGCTTATAAAGTGGTAAACAGTGTGTGTGAAAGTGGTAGTTAAAAGAAACATGAAATATTAAAGTTATCCTCATCAATAAATGCAGTGGAGTCATTTAAAAATGATATTTTCTGTCTGATTGCAGGCTGGCATCGCAGCCGCTCCTGCAAGGGCTGTATCGGCGGTCAAGAATATGAACATCCCACAACAAATAAAAGACATGAAGCTTCCAGACCTTCCTCAGGCAATCAAAGACCTCAAGTTCTGACCGAGGGGTGATCAGGGTGTCAGTAGCTGACACGGCAGTAGATCAGGACGTAGTGCTGCGGCAGATGAAGGTGAGGAGATGGCTCTGTCAAAACACGCCCAGTATTCTTAGATAGCACCAGCGTACATCCTGTCGCCTACCACAGGTGTAAGATATGAGTTGCTATTCATTATTAAAGTTTGCACCAATATCACCGGCAAAATTCCAGTGCTGATATCAGTGATTTATAATGGAAACAATACAATGTCCAATGTAAATATAAGAAGAAATGAGCAGTTACATCTGTCATTAAATAAAGTTCTCATCCTTACACATTTATTTTAAAATAATATATGTATAAAATGTTACAGTAAAGGCTGAATTAATAACATTTAATAACAGTAAAATTTAAAATGAAATTGGATTCTTGCTGTCTCATTTTGAAGTACACAGATTTTGCAGGTGAATTATTTGTGATACTGGTTTTGTTATTTGTCTTTGTTATGCAATAAATGCAAGAGGAACATTAATCAAACTCTGATGAATACTAAGAACTCTTTTCCATGAAAATATAAAAATGTTTGTCCTAAACATCTTTCTTGTGAAGTAATTCTGTTAATCGTCGCCCTCGGTGGACTAGTGGTTATCGTGCTCGCCACTGGACCCAAGGATCGTGGGTTGAAACCCTGCCGAGGTCGATGGATTTTTAAGGGTGATAAAAATCAATAGCATAACTTCCTTCAGAGGGGAAGTAAAGCTAGCGGTCCCATGTCATAAAAGAGCCGTACGAGCATGAACGAGATGTTTTGTAAGCAAAATTCAGCGGCCATTTCTCACCCAAGTCTCTCCTGATTCACTACTAGATGGCTGTAGCAGACAAATCAGGATTGAGTAGAAATTGTGCTGAGGGAGTGGGCTAGTCACTCACTACTCATAATTGCACATTTCAAAGACATGGAAACGTCCTACGTGGGAGGAGGCCAAGGCTCGACTTTGGGCTGTTGCGCCATAGAAGGAGTTCTTTTAATTGATATAAGATGTGCAGCAGAATTTTTAATAATTCAGTGTTTGCACTGGATAAAATTAAATATAGCTGTTGTTCTTATATCATATTTGGCTGTTAATGTAATCATAAATTTTGAATCTTTTTATAATTTTTTTTATCAGCATGGGAATTTTACTTGTAATATACAAGATTAGTGATATTGGTTGGTAGCAATGTGAACAAAATTCGCTTAATGTTTAGATGAAACTGAACTTGTACAAATTTGTTATGAGGACATTGTTCTTTGGGCACTTGTTTCATTTGTCTTCTTTGCAGTGAAACATGTGAAGACAGTGAAAATTGTTGTGTAATTGACTGGCGAACTTATAAAGTTTAATGATACATGTATGTGAATTAAAAGAAGATGCACATACAGTTTGCATATTCAAATATGAAGTCATCATATTCAGATATTCATGTCATTCTGCATGATAGTAGCAATTGAAGAAAACATTCCTTTCCATGTCTACGTGCATTTATAGCTTCAGAAGGAAATGAGCTTAACTTTCTGCTTCTCTTGAGTGTTACAGTTGTGTATATGAGGAAAATATTTGTATGTAATAAATAAGAGTAATTTCATGATATTATGTACGTCATATACTTTGCATTTGTTATTCACTAATAAAATCGTCTTTTATTAGCTCTTCTTTTCAAATGAATCCTACGAACTTGAAATTGTGACGTTTGGTTACGAAATTAACATTTAATCTACATTTAAATGGACTTTCCTTCTCTGTCAAAGAAGAAAATATGCATATTACTGATTTTGTTGCTTTCATATTGGTACACTTGCTTCTTTCAACTGTTTTGTGTGGTTAATTTGTAGATTATTTATTTAATTTTAAGCAACTAAAATAGGGGGTCCGCAGTGGCTGTGCGGTCTGAGGCGTGGGTCTTGTGCCGCTTTGTCGCAGGGACCGTGGGTTCGAATCCCACTCAAGCCATGGATGTCTCTGTTGTGCTGTCCTGTGTACAGGTAGAGGCCTTGCGACGGGCCGATCCCTCGTCCAAGGAGTCCTACCGAATGTCGATAGATCAAGCCAACTGAAAAGTTGGGGACCCGTAAAGGCTACCAGAAAATGTACAAACATTGTTAAACCGGAAAAAGAAGAAGTAACTAAAGTACTGGAGCATGAGACATTTTCCTGGTGTTTTCATAATGCCGTGAAGGCATGTGGGAAGCATGATTTCATAAATCCATTGACCTTAGCACTACAGGGATGTGGTGACTCATTGACTTGTTGCTTTGCGTGATTAATAGTTCTGAAAAAGGGGTCTGTAAAGTTTTATAGATTGGTTGACGTATGCTTCAACATTGTGGTTTCTGTGGAAGAAGTGGACACGTGTAAGTAAAGTCACATTCTTCCGGCTATCCGTCTGTGAATGTTATCTCTGAATTTACTGAATTTATTTCTATCAAATATTGGTATTGGTATTAATAATGATAGTTTTTTAAGACCAGGGATTCAGCAACATTTTTGTTACTCTGGTTTGCATTGGCTGTTCATATCTTTGTTGAGGGCTGCAGAAAAGAATGTTGTGGGCAGTAGGCAGAACTGTATTTTTTTTAACGTAAAGAGTATATCTGGTATTCACTTGAAAACTGATAATTGTTGTATTTCTCCATACAGCTGAGTTTATTGTAAAGGCGATTGTTTTCAAACCGCTTTTGATTCAGGTCGTTAATTTAATAAAAATTTAGTTATTAATACCACAGTAATATTTATATTGTTTTGTTAAATTGCACGTGGTTTTACAATGGAACAATTTATCTTTCTATAATAATGAAATTTTAACATTATAGGGTTAAATATACCTTTTCCTTTTGCTGTTGTGTACCCTTACACTTAGATACTGTGTATACATATTCATTTATATTTACATTAGTGTTTCTCTTAGTAGCAGAAAAGTTCTTCCTTTCTCCCATTCGCTAATTCCCAAATCATGTGGCTGGCCGCATGAAAAGGTTGTGAGGCCACATGCCGGTTGAAGGTTGAGTATCCCTGTTTAAGACTGTCAGGAAAAGAAATTGGAAATCCACAGCCTTGAACAAGGAAAACTTGCTGTATCTTATCAAGAATTTTGCTGACAGTGTGTTGTAGCTACCAGTGATAACGATGACTAGAAATTCTGTAATGTCTGGTGGAAAAGGCCATTTGAAATTCAGTGGCTGGGGTTTTTTTTTTAAAAAAA